TCATTTCAGAGAACAGCCTGAAGTGGTCCTTGGGTCAGCCCTAATCTGATGACAACAGCCAGGTGCACATCCTGGAGATGGTCTAACCCTCTACCCTCTGTTCCGGTGACCTCTGGCTCTTTCTTGGTTTTATTCTGACCTTGAGGACTCCTCCTCCATAGAGGGCAGCCCCTGGGTTTCCTGGTCAACCCTCCACAGGGGCCCTCCAGCCAATGGCATCATTCCCATCACCCTGTCACTTTTGGGTTCTACCTACATTGCTCTGCAATAGTTTGTTTCTCCAGTCTAGTTACATCATTGCCTAGGTTTGCTTCCCAAAATATAATGGAACAGGACACTCCAGTCTCTGAATCCTGGGGCTCTTTATTATCTTTAAACTGAAGCCCATCCTCCTCCATCCAGGGTCCAAGAGCCCAAACCCCCTTTCCATCTTCACCCACTTTGCCAGTCCCCGTTCCCCTCACACACCTCAGACTCCATTCTGCTCACTATTTCTCAGAGGCACCATTTGTTTACCCAACAGACAACTACCCGGTACCTCCTATGTGCCAGGCAGCAGGCTAGGCACTGGATGCAAGAACGAGTAAGATATCAACGCTGCCTTCAAGGAGCTCTGGCTGTGGAGACAGTTCTGAAAACAAGTCAAGATAATACAATGTGACAAGTGCTATAATAGAGATTAAAATGCAAGGCGTGCTGGGAGCTGAGGGAGAGTACCTGACAGCCAAGAGGGCAGGGAGGGGGGGCGGGACCTTAGAGAGGGTTCCACTGAGGGGCTATCCATTTGGTTGTTGGTGGTGGTAATTTCTGCTGAGGCAAAGCACTGTTCAGGAGGGCAGATGACCCGGAGAAGTGAGCATGGTAGGTAAGAGGCTGTTTCAAGGACAGTTCTCAGTAGAGTATGTGACACTGATGATCATCCGATGGGGGAAAGGTGGAGGACACATTGGAAGGCAAGGAGGGAAGAGAAGGAGAGTGGTAATTGTCCCGGAGAGAAGGGACAGGGGAGGATCTGGGTACAGGTAGTAGCCAGAGAATGTGGAAGAAGAGACATGGGAAAGCCAAGGCAAGGAGACATGGGAAAGCCAAGGCAGGAACTGAGGTGGGAGGGGGGGAGGGATCCCCACGCTAATGTCAGGGAGTGTCCAGGACGGTAATTCCACCCGTGGAGAGGAAACAGAGGGAGGAGCGAGCGTGAGTTTTGCTGGGAGATGACTTTAGTTTTAGAAAATGGAATCTGAGGATCAGGTGGGCACCAAGGAGCCATGGGGAGCTCTCCGGTGGGCAGGGGGATGCTTGGACCTGGGGAGGGAGGCACAGATTTCAGGGCTGGAGATACAGATTTCAGAAATCACTTAGAGAAAAAAAAATTGTTTATCCTCTGACTCAGCAATTCTATTTGTAGGAATTTCTCCAAAGAATATAATTAAAGGTATGTGTGAAGGTTTTTCTACAAAAATGTTCACTGTTTAATAAAGTGAAAGAGTGGGAACTTTCTATGACAATGAAAAAGGAAAAACAGCAGGGGATTGGTTAAATAAATTACGACATATTCTTGCAATGGAATTCTGTTCAAACGATAAATGAATATTGTTAGATGAATGCTTATTGGCATGAAAAGCACCCACAATTTTTGCTAAGTATTATAGAAAAAAGCAGATTCTAAAACAACTAGTAGAGTAGCATCCCACTTTTTGTTCAAGAAAAAAATTAAGATGTTAATGGTTCTTCCCAAGTAGTATGATTAAGAATCTCTCTCTCTCTCTCTCTCTCCCTCTCTCTCTCTCTCTCTCTCTCTCTCTCTCTCTCTCGTTTTCTTACATTTAATCATACATGACTTTTGTTCAAAGATAGTGGTTATTTAAAAAAAATTGAATAAAATTAAAAGGGATGATCTAGCAAGGACTCAGGGAGTGAGAAGGTTCAAGGGTGGAAACCAATCACCTTGCTACATCTGTCCATGGAGTTGCCTGTCCTGAGTATCGCTCCCATATCATATTTGCTACCTGGCTACATGGTGGAGTACAAGTAGCAGGCTACCAACTGTGGGCCTTGGCAAAACTTTTTGATTCTCTAGTTCTGTTTTCTCGTGTTTATTTATTTATTTTTAAAAATATTTTTATTTATTTCAGAGAGGAAGGAAATGGGAAATATCAATAATGAGAGAATCATTGATTGGCTGCCTCCTGCACACCCCACACTGGGGAAATCAGCCCGTGTAACCCAGACATGTGCCCTGACCGGAAATGGAACCAGGACCTCATGGTTCAGAGGTTGACGCTCTACCACTGAGCCACGCTTCTCATGTTGATAGTAAGGAGAATAACATCATCCTTAAAATGGTTCTATGATAATAAAACATTTAGACATATAGCAGCTACTTAATAAATATTAGTCCCCTTTCCCTTTCTTTTTACTCATTTTTTCCCCTTGCTAGGCCCAGGTTTGACCTCCAGAGGTTTTTTTGGCCTTCACAGTGGGAATTGATAACTCTTCTCCCTGAATCCCGAAAGTGCTTTGTTTGTTCCTCTGTTGAACACTGACTGGATAATGCTCTGAACGGAGTTAGTGCTACCTGGTCTCCCCTGATTGTAGCCACCGCTGGGTCAGCTATCCCTGTAGCATGTAGGGGGTGCTCTATGGATGTGTGTTGACTACATTCATGGTGCTTTTATGACTTAGCTAATCATGAGTTATTCAAAGGCTGGATTACTCAAGGGTTAGTTGATTCAGATCTCTTCGAATTTTTCTCCCAATTTTTAACCCTGGCAAGGTTTATCCTTCAATCTGCAGAAAGATGACCAGCAGAGAGTGCAAGTAAAGCTCACCCATACCTCTAGGCTCCTCTCAGAAGCTCTGCAAAGAGCGGATGGCGAGGAGTTAAAGGGAAGGTTGTTTGTGGTTCCCCCACCCTCTGTGCTTAAACTGCCAGAACTTTCATCAGGGCAGCTTCGGGGCAATGGGAATTGGATGGGTGTTTCATTCCACAGGCCTAGGCCCTCTTTGACCCTAAATTCTTCTCTCCAACCCTGCCTCTTCCTCACTGGACATTCTCTGATCCCTTCTCTGTCACCCGTCTAGCGGAGGCTCTACTATGCTCTGGTGCCTACGCTTCTCCCCACCACACCTTGCGAGGCAGGTGTAGCAGTTTGGTGCTGACCGGAGTTCCTTTCGGTTGCAAGTTCGGAGACCTGTGTGACCCGCGGAAAGTTGATGAAGCTCTTGAAGCCTCCGTTTCTGCATCTAAGAACTGGGAACAATCACACGGGCCTGTCCCGGTCCCATCCCAGGGTGGCTGAGGGAAATCAAATGAGATCTTTAAAAAGCATACACTGGCAAAGAGGTTTACCTAAACGCCAGGTGTTCCTACTACCCGCTGTGGGGCTCCCTCTCGGTACCTATGGACCAAAGCGGTCCTGGCTGCCCCGCCCTAGCTGCCCCGGCCTCACCCACACTGCATCTCCATCTTTCCTGTCCTTGTCTTTCTGCGCCTCAGAGATCCTGGATCTCTCCACCTCCCCCGTACGTTTCCGGATCTGGCTCTTGGGCCCCTTTCGCCCCTCGGGGGTCTGTGGTCTCCAGCTCCTGGCGGCAGTGGCTGCCCAGGCGCCCCCCGCCCTGGGCACCCTCCTTTGGCACGGCCACAGGGACAGAGAACCGCCCAATGGGAGCGCCGGGCTCCAGTCTGACAGCTCTGGGAGCGGCCAATCCAGCCGAGCCAGGGAAGGGGGCGCAGTGCTGGGGCTGAAGTTGGGTTGAATAGGGGGAGGGGGACTCAAGGGGTATACAAAACAGTGGAGCTAGGATTGGGCACAAAAAACACCAAGGAGGGCGGGAGGGGGTGTGTGTGGAGAACCGCACCCCACCCAGGTCTGGCCAAAAGGGACCGTGGGCTGGACGCGGCTCCAGGAACCGGAGGGAGGGGGCTCGAGGAACATTTTAGGTGAGACATCGGAGCTGGGTTCCACGCGGCCCCGGAGCCGGGCTTGAGCATGCCCACGGGGCGCCGGGGCGGGGGCCGCGGCCCGGCCCGGGGCGGAGGCGGCCGCGAGTCCTTGTGAGCCGAGCGGAGCCGAGCAGAGGCCGGAGCGCGCGGGGGGGGCGGGGAGGCGGCGGGAGGAGGGGATGCGGAGGGCGCTCCCGCGGAGGCCGGCGGGCGCGGAGGGAGGAGCGGCGCGAGCGGCCGGCGCGGAGCAGGGCCCGAGGCGTGCATGGCGCGCCCTGAGCTGGGCTCCCACGGGCCCCTCCGGAGCGCCCCGGGGGCGCGGCGGCTTCTGGGCGGGCCCCTGCCGGCCGCCTGCCTCTGAGTCCGGGCCCTCGATCCCTGGATGCCGCGCTCCCCGGGAGGAGCCCGTCTGCGCTGGGGCAGAACGGCGGCGGCAGCGCCGCGCCGGATCCCGCCCTCCTCCGCCTAGTCCTCCGGCACCACCCGGCCGCCGAGGGCCCGAGGAGCCTGGAGCCTGCGGAGCCGCCGGCGCGACCGTCCTCCCGGGCCGGCAGGTCCCGGCCGGCTCCGCTGCGTTTGGGGGAAGCGGGCGGCGGGAGGGGAAGGGCCGCGCTGCGGGAGCCGGTCCGCGCCCCCGCCCCGCCCCCCGCGCGGACGCGCCGAGGGCTCGGCCGGGCTCGGCGTTCGCGGGGGCCGCTCCCACTCTCGCCGCGGGAGGTGGAGGGGGGGATGCGGGCGCCGGCTCCCCGCGGGCTCCAGGACCCTCCCCCCAGGGCTCCGGAGCGGTTGCTCCGCCTGCCGCCCCCTCCCCCGTCCTCTCCACCCTCCATCTATCCCACCTCCCCCCACCCCTCCTAAGGAAATAATGCTGGCTGCTGGCGCGGGTACCTCCCAGTCGCTCCCGGTCCGCCGCGAGGAGAGGGCACCTGCTGGGTGTCCGCGCCGGGACCCCCGCCGAGCCGCCCCAGCCGCCGCCGCCGAGGCTTAACCTGCGAGCGCCGCGCCCGGGCATTGGCAGTCCCCGGGAGGGAGGCGCCGCCTGCAAGGACACCGCTCCGTCCGTCCCGCCTCGTCCGCAACTCCGGTCCCCGCGGAGCCCGCGGCGAGCCAGGAGCCAGGAGTCCGGACCTCCCTCTGCGTGCGGCGCGGCCGGTCCCCGCGGGGCCCCAGCTGGGCGCCAACTTCACCTAGGACCCGGGACTCTCCGCTCGGATCCTCAGCTACTTCTCATCGTCTCCGGGCTGCTGCGCCCGCCTCCCGGCTCGCCTCCTTCTCCAGAGCTCAGGACGGGGGTGCCAAGATGCCCCGCTGCTGCGCAGGGCCCCGGGCCGCCCCCGACGAGTGACCCGAGCCTGGTCCCCTTGCTCGGCCGCCGTCCGCCCTCCCCGTGGAGACCCCCGGCCCGGCCCCCGGGGGAGGAGGAGGAGGAGGAGGCAGCAGACGAGGCCGAGGGGGGGATGTCCGGCTCCAAAAGCTCGAGCCCTCCGGGCTACGCGGCGTTGACAGCGGCGGCGGCACCCGCGTCCCGGGGCAGCTCGGAACACCGCTCCGCGTGGGGAGCGGCCGAGGCCCGCGCCAATGGCTACCCCCGCGCCCCCGGGGGTTCGGCCCGCGGCTCCACCAGGAAACCTGGGGGGGCTGTGACCCCGCAGCAGCAGCAGCGCCTGGCGAGCCGCTGGCGCCGCGACGATGACGACGAGGACCCTCCGCTGAGCGGCGACGACCCCCTGGCCGGGGGCTTCGGCTTCAGTTTCCGCTCCAAGTCCGCCTGGCAGGAGCGCGGCGGCGAGGAGGACTGCGCGCGCGGCAGCCGGCGGCAGCGGCGGGGCGCGGCCGGCGGGGGCAGCACCCGGGCGCCCCCTGCGGGCGGCGGCGGCGGCCCGGCGGCGTCCGCGGCGGCGGCGGGGGGCACGGAGGTGCGCCCCCGCTCGGTGGAGCTGGGCCTGGACGAGCGGCGGGGAAAGGGCCGTGCGGCCGCCGCGGACGAGCTGGAGGCCGGCGGCAGCGCCATCGAGGAGGACGACGACGAAGGGCGCGGGGATGACGGTGGCGGCTTGGCGGGCGCGGGCGCGGGCCCCGGCGGCGCGGTGCTGTCGCTGGGCGCCTGCTGCCTGGCGCTGCTGCAGGTATTCCGCTCCAAGAAGTTCCCGTCGGACAAGCTGGAGCGGCTGTACCAGCGCTACTTCTTCCGCCTGAACCAGAGCAGCCTCACCATGCTCATGGCCGTGCTGGTGCTGGTGTGCCTCGTCATGCTGGCCTTCCACGCGGCGCGGCCGCCGCTGCAGCTGCCCTACCTGTCCGTGCTGGCGGCCGCCGTGGGCGCCGTCCTCGTCATGGCCGTGCTCTGCAACCGCGCCGCCTTCCACCAGGACCACATGGGCCTGGCCTGCTACGCGCTCATCGCCGTGGTGCTGGTGGTGCAGGTGGTGGGCCTGCTGCTGCCCCAGCCACGCAGCGCCTCTGAGGGCATCTGGTGGACCGTGTTCTTCATCTACACCATCTACACGCTGCTGCCCGTGCGCATGCGGGCCGCCGTCCTCAGCGGAGTGCTCCTGTCCGCCCTGCACTTGGCCATCGCCCTGCATACCAACGCCCAGGACCAGTTCCTGCTCAAGCAGGTAAGGGCCCGCCTGACCACGGGGACTGCACTGGGAGGGGGCCAGCGGGCCAGACACCCCCCACCCTCTCACCCTTTTAAAGTGGTAAAAGGTGGCAGAGTCATGGCGGTGTCATCTGTGTGGTGTCTCTCAGCCCCTTAACCCGCCCTCAGCCCCGGCGTTTTCATGTATGAAGGAGTGCCTTGTAGTATAGGAAATCTTCCTGGCGCCTAAGAAACACACACTAAACCATAGCCATAGCTGTCGAGATAAGAATGAGGAAGGGTGATTGGGAGCAGTCCCTGTATAGGTGTACAGGCCCCTGACACAAGGGGCTGGGCGCTATAGCAGATTCTCCCACACAGAGCACGGTTTGCGGGTTTGTGGATGGAGTTCTGGATAAAGGGCCGGGGAGAGCAGACCGTGGGCACCCGTGGCCCCATCTCAAGCAAGAGAAATGATAACCTTGCCGGTTGCCTGAGGCTGGGACGGACAGATTGTTTCCGTTTACAAAAGTGCCCCAAGCCAGAAAGCTGCTGCCAGCAAAGGTAGGAAGGGAGCCTCTGGGATGTGTGGTGGCAGTCCCCCTCTCTGCCTGAGCGAAAAGCTAGTGTTGGACATTGTGACCCCTTCCTATGGATGATCCTGGTTCTTGCCTGAGGTGTGGGGTGTTTCTTTTCTCCCTGCTGGGACTGGTTGGGTGAACACAGTGAGACTTGGGAGAAGTAAAACTTTGGTAACTGGGAGAGAGGAATGCTTGCCATCCTGCCCTCAGGGTGAGACCAGATGGGCACACCTTCTCCTTTTAGCAGTCCCCTGGTCTGTGGCTCCATGGACCTCATCCATTGACCCTGCTGAGCCTGCGGTTTGCATTTAGCTCCAGTGGGCCCGTGTTGTAGGCTAGTGGTCTCTTGACCACGGTGCCCACTGCAGCCCTCTGAGTGCCCTGTTTGCCTTCCCTGTAGAACCTCTTAACTATATATTCCACATGTGTCAAACACAAGGCCTGCGGGCCAAATCCGTCCCGCCAGGCCTTGCAATGTGGCCCGCACCGCGCTGTCATCACTGCACTCCGCTGCGTTTCCATCACAGTGACAGTTTATGACTGTTCAGTAAACCATTCGGCCCGCGATTTAGGCTGGATTTTAGATTTTGGCCCCTTCTCTGATTGAGTTCGACACCCCTAATATATTCCATTGTCATTGCCTTCCTCCTCCTCCTCCTCAACTCTGATGCCTTTCTCAGACTTTGATCCTGTGGAGGGCGCACTCTTTCTTGCGGGGTTCTCCTGTGCCCCTGACTCTCACCCAGGGAATAGCACCGGTGTGCACCCCAGGGCTCTGGCTGCACTCCCAAATGCTCTGTGACGGGGAAAGAGGGCAGCCGCAAGCTCTCTGGGCCTCAGGTTCCTCTTTTAGAGAATCACGAGAGGTTCCTTGAGAGTTCTACCTTCCTCGGTCCCCGCTCTCGCCTGCCAGGAGCCCTCTCCTTCCCTCCCCGCTGTGCCGGCCTCTCCCTCTTCTTCATGGGAGCAGTGGAGTCAGAGCCACAGAGGGGAGCACTGACTGCTCTCCAGGCTCCGTTGGTTTTGCTTCTCATTCAATGGAATCCCCTTGGGCTCAGGAATTATATGGGTTTTTCCTCTTCTATCCTCTCTTGTCTAGCACAGGGCAGGGCACTTAGGCGGGATTTAGTAACTGTTGCCAGTTTGGTTGGGTTCCAACGTGTGGAGGAGGTGGGGTGGTTAATGCTAAGTTGAAGTTTGTTTTGTTTTGTTTTTTAATCTGGGATCAGAAGGAAAACTTTAGACATCAGCTTTGAGCTTGAGAGAAACCTACCGAGAGGTGATGGTTTTTTTTTAAAAAAAATTAACTGTTACTATTAGTGCTTGAAAGACTTCCACTCCTTTGACCTGAGGACCCGAGCTGTCACGTGGGTATGGCAATTTTGGGGGTGGTTCCTGGCTCGGATTGGGGTAGCTTTTCTGCAGGGGGAAGGGCATGTCCTCCACACAGAGCACTAGAGACTTCCTGGATCCTTCAGACCAGACTGGAAGGCAGGGTCTGATGACAGCCGTAGCATCCTGCATGTGTGATTTCCAGAGATTGGAGTCAGATCCCAGGGAAAGAGCGCTGAACCTGAAGGACTCCAGCTGCATTTTAGCCTGAGAATGTCCTGGCAGCAACAGTGCCTGGTCCCCCTTGCTAGTTCCTCAGGCCAGCTCCTCCCTTCTCCTCCCCATCGCCACCCGTGCCGCACCCCGGCCCGTTCCACCCACGGGGGTCTTTAGAGACCTTTGCTTGGGTGTAGGCTTTAGGGTGGGTTTACGCGTAACCTCTCAAGACCTCCCTTGAGTATAGCAGAGCTTGTTCCGAATGGTCCCTACAAGGGAAGGCTAACATTGTTTCTTTTTGGCTTCAGAGAAAACTGTGTCTTTTTGTTTGTCTTTGATTTACCTTTCTGATGGTGCCTGTCATAACATTTTTATTTCTTGAGCAATGGTGGGGAAATAAATGCAAGTGGGACGGTCTGGCATGAACGTCTGCCTCAGGTTACCCCAGCGTGGCAGGCAGGTGAGGCTGGCTTGGGTCAGATGCCATCCCTCCTAAGTACCCGGTACTGTGCTAGACAAGCGATGGCAGAAGAGGAGAAACCCATGTAACTCAGGATTCCTCAGTCCAAGGGACGCACGTGCTTGTTTCTTCGATGAGGACCCTGGTCCAGGGAGGTGGGGCAGCGGGGCCCTGGGCACATAGCCGACCCTCTGGAAACCTCCTGCGAGGCTGGCCCTCGGACCCTGGGGCTTTATTGTTCCCCAGCCCCTCGTGTATGTTTGGAGCTTCCCTTGGCTCCGATTAGAGGGAGAGAACGTCTGGTTTCTTCACACGTGCCTTGGGATGGATTCTACTCAGAGAGAATGGGGAGGCGAGGTGGGGCAGTCCTTTTTGGGGGGATGATGTGTGTTCTCCCCTTCACCACATCTCAGGCTCTAGCTCTTCCCCCTGGTGTCCTCCTGTCCCACTCTCGGCTCTTTCTCTCTCACTTCCCCCCCCCCTCCCTTTATTCCCCTGTTGCTCTCTGCCCGCCTCTCCTCTCCTCTGCCTGCCTGCCGGCTCCTCTCCATCTCTTACTCGCCACCTGCAGCCCCGCGGCCTCTCCTTCTGTGCTCTTCTCGTCTCCCTGTGGTCTCCTCCGTGGAGTACAGTAGGAGCGTCACAGGGCTGTGTTTTTTTTTTTCTCCTCCTCCTTTGCGTGCTACAAGTCCCTCTGTTACACCCATACCATAAATAACACGCGAGCATCTGCCAAACACATTCCTCACTTGTGTTAATAGGCTGTGATGATGCCGGAGCCTGTTGCCATGGCAACCTCATTTTTTGTTTGACTGTATCCCACTCTGCCACAGAAAGGTCTGCAGGCACTCACACACAAACAAGCACGCTCGCACAGCGATCGCATATGCTTAGCTATTAAAGGTTATTTTGGAGAAAAGTCTGTGAGCCTTGCGAGGGTGGGCGGTCATTTTGCCAAGGGGAGGAGCGCTCCCCACTGTCTGGTGTTGCTTTAGGAGGTGATAATGGGGGGAAGAGCTCTTTGGGAAGTAGAGAGTTCTGTTCCGTGCGGGGTATTATTATTATTCTGCAGCCACATTAGACCTGCCTGAGGTGGTTTCTGAGGAGCCGGTTCTGACCCCCTGTGGGTCCCGGGAGTGGTGGAAGAGCTGTGAGAGGAGGTGGCCTGGAGAGCCGGAGGAGGCTGTCCTTGCAGCGAGGGATGACCCCTCCTCCACCCAGCCTCCCTGCAGCTCCTGCTCTCCCCTCTGACCCTTTTGGAGAAACTTAGTGATTCTCTGCATTTCATCCTTTGTGCCTGTTTGAACCCACACCTGTCACCAGTTGTTCAAGATATCAGAAAGGCGCAGGCACTGTGTGGGTGATGTCTGTGACTGTGTGAGTGCCTGCAGGGAGGAGGCTAGGGATTGATGGGGGCGGGAGCCGACTGCTGTGGCTGCCAAGGGGTGGGTACAGCAATCGGCTGTGCATGCGTGCGTGCGTGTGTGCGTGTGTGTGTGTGTGTGTGTGTGTCTGGTGTGGGCTGGCCACAGATAGTGTATGCGTGTTATGCAGATGTGTCAGTTGCGTGGGCTGGCCCTGGGTGTGTGTGTCTGACAGTTCCATGGCTGGCCCAGGTGATGGAGGTCGGCCTGGGAAGCCTTTGTGTTGACTTTGAAAGGAGATCCTTGCAGCTCTGTCCTGTTTATTCTTGGCTGGTGGGTGGCTTCCTGTGGCTGCTTGCCTTTCTGATTATGGGCCTTGAACGCCCTTCTGACCTTGACCTCTGACTTTTTAGGAAAGTACCTTGGATGCACGCCCCCCCCCCCCTCCTTTCCATAATGAGACCAGGTGCTAGACTTGAGTGATTAGCCCCTCTGACCCCTTTCAAACACCCTTTCTGTCTTTCTGGTACTCACCACTCAGCTGCCTGGTGAGCCCCACTGAAGGGCTGCCTCCTGGTTCTGGAACTTGGCCCTGAGGCCTGTTCGGTGGGTCATTATGGCTGCCCCATGTGTGCTCCTGACAACCACCACCTGGCTGACCGCCTGGGTGGTGTGGAGGGGGACACACTTCCACTGCAACTGCCGGAAACTGGGGATCGCCTGCTACCAATTACTTCCAACACCCGCATTCCAGGACGGAGAAATCGGCCTTTGTGAACTCCCAGCCGCACAGCAGTGGGGCTGGGGGTTGGTGCTGCTTTTGCAGCTGAGGAGGGTCTCCATGTCTTGCCTCAAGGCTAATTGCATTTGCTAATTATTTTTGCTAATTGCTTTCGATTATGTTGCCTCCTCTATGGGTGGGAAGGAGGTGCTTGGAGGGGAGCAGAAGCCTCTGGGGTGGGGGGTTGAGCAGGGCTCCTAGAGGGGGGTTCGTTTCCCAGACCCCAGGGATGCCTCTGTTCCTGTGAGGAGGACTGTGGGAATGGCAGAGACCCAGCGAGGAGCAGAGTGATCAGCTGCTGTA